AAATTATATTATAAAAGAATTTTTTTAAAATATTGTCCAAGTTGTGAATATATAATAATTATGTATGTAAGAATCATAATCATTTCTACTATTCATCACTACTAACTTATAGTCAATCATCCAACTTTTTCTTCAAAAAAATAAATAAATAAATAAATAAAAATGTATGAAATAGAAGATGAATATGATGTGTGTGTATAATTCTATCAATCCATTGAAATATTTTTGTTGGCATGTATTTATACTTAAACTAATTAACTAATGCCGTTTGTGGATTATTACTAATTAATTTTTGAATTTAGGCCTTCGAATAGGCTTAATATTTAACAAAATTACGAAGGATGACCTTATATTATTATGGTAATTAATTGCATGCTGAACAATAATAATACAAGTACGAAATTAATATTAGATTTTAGTATAAAATTCTTGTGTAGATTTGATTTGACGTCAATATCTGAAATAATTTAAATTTGGTCTAACATTTGTTTACTTGAATGAGAAAATTTTCACCAAAGTCCTAATACGAAAAAGGCTTATATCGCGCGCGTTTTCTTTAAAGGAGTTGACTTGGATACGTTATGATCGTACTACAAACGGTCCTTGGATACGGAACTCCACTAATGTCATGAGCCAACAACGTTCGTACCCCATGAGGCGGGTCTCGAAGAAAGTGATACCCCAAAGATCCTTCCGTCGCTAAAGAAGCCAAATAATCAGCTGCAAAATTCGCCTCACGAAATGCATGCTGCACCTTATTAATTGTACGTATACTAGTAGAAAAAACACTTTTCACATCGGCTGTTTACATCGGTTTTGTCAAAACCGATGTAAAAAATACTTTTCACATCAGATGTTGACATCGGTTTTGTCGGAACCGATGTAAACAATAAAGATTGTGACATTCCCGTACTTGGGACATCGGTTATTACACAACCGATGTGAACGATGACACTTATTATATCAGTTCCACAATAACCGATATAAAAAACTTTAAACAAATGATGTATTTAGAATGCATCGGTTCAAATAAACCGATGTGAATGTGGCCCAAAAAAATAGTGGTCTAAATTAATGTGCATCAGTTTAATAAAACGATGTTGGGAAGCCCAAATTTGATGTGCCCGCCAAACATCCAAACATAATTCTTAAACCCAAATCGCTAAGTCTTGAAAAAAAAAAAATCGCTAAGTCCATCTTTCTGAAAATCGATTGCACTCAAAACCCTCTAGTACCGGTTTCGCCTTCACAGTGTTGCTCTCAAAACTCTCCACCGTCGCGCCTTCACAGTTCATCGCACCTTCACAGTTCACCGCCGCACTTGCACAGTACCATCCACAGTTCGTGTACTGCAAGTACAACTCGACCTCCTTCAAGCGACAGTCGTATATACGTACAATAGTCACATTTGTGTACGTATATAAGTATATACGTACACAAATGTGACTAAATTAAATGTTTTATCATTCACGAACATGAAAATGATCATAATAAGGCTTAATTTAATTCATAAATTCACCATTTTTTTTTTTGTCAATTAATTGAACAGATATTGTATAGGTCCGACTCTATAGTTTGTCTGCTACTTTAGGGAGCCAAAATTCACTAGTGGTGACCATAATTAATTCACTTTGTGAAAGAAAAGTTATGGCCTACAGCTATACAATACAAAGCCACTTGCAGCTTATTATGGACTCTGTTAAATTCCCAATGTTGACCTCATTACGCATATGGTTTGAGGTCGAAAATTTTTGCATAGTTGTATTCTCTTTATTCATTTTTTTTTTCTAATACTATTTTAGGCAAAAATAATTTTGCTATCATGCGCACGGTGAATACAAACAATTTCAAACAATTAATACCATAAGCAAGATTAATTAACAAATACTAATTATTGGTTTTCAAGCACTCGTAATTATACATGTTATATTTTTTTTAAAAAAAAAAAAAACAACGTTAAATAGCTATTCAATTAGTGAAAATTGTGACATTCTATAGTATTATGTATAGTTTTTGTTTAAGTGGAGCTTTTAGTGTTTCGAATATGTGTAAATGGAGCAAGAATATGAATAATCATGGCCTTAATTATTTATTTTGTACTAATTTGTGACTTTTCTAGTTACTTGGAGATAGATGTATAAATAGTAGAAGTAAAAGATATAAATGTCAAAAAGGAGAAGCTTGGGCTAGCTTGTTTACAAAACAATTAGTCTAAAATAAGTTATTTTGGTTAATCAAGGGTTAATTTTGAAAAAATTAGTATGATTAGTTGTGAGTGGAATTTTAAGACTAGATTAAAATAATATTTAAAATAAAATGGTTAAAATTGATTTGATGTAAAAGTAGAAGATAAATGACTCAAAAATGATAGATAGTTAAAATTATGTGAGTGGATGAATAGTGAATTAAAGTTGATGTGATGCGTAAGAATGACTGGTTTGTATTATTTAATTATATGAATAATATAAAAGATAGTGGGGTTGAGTTAAAGTTAAGTTAGATTTTTAGTATGAATTAAATGTGAGTGAAATAATTTATAAACAAGCATGTCTTTAGGGGGTGATTGTTTATGGATTCAACTAGTTTTTATTTGAATTTTTTTTTTTTAACTATAGTTAATTTTAAAAAAAAAAGATGGTATGGTTAGTTCTTAGTGGATATATTATAATAATATTTAAATAAAATAATTAAAATTGATTTGACGTAAAGTATGATTAGTTAAATTATGCGAATGGATGAACAGCGAATTAAAAAGTTGATGTGATGTGTAAGAATGATTAGTTGATATTATTTAATTATATTGATAATACCGAAGATAATGAAGTTGAGTTAAATTTGAGTTTTGATTAGTTTTTTTTACTGTAGAAACCATATCCAATCAACCTCTATTAGGCTGCATAGGTAACCATATTCTTACAAATATATTTACATTTTTCACATTTAAATATCATACTTTAAAAATTTTACAATCTAATGGCTAGCCAGCATAACAGTAACATTTATATACGATATGGTGTCCTATATATATATATATGAAAGGACAAAAAGTAGATATATTAGATCGAATAAAACTATATAAGTATCAGTTAATAAGTTCCAAGGGCACCTAATAAGATAAGATTAGGAAATAATTGAGTACTTATATCACAATATAAAAGGTACTTGCAAGTAAAGGGTGTTTAATTATTAATTAAAAGCTTTAGCTTGTCCTCAACCTCATGTGCGCATGGGTGTAATAAATGTAATAAATTAATTAGAAATAATCTCAAATATCTATCTATATTTATATTAAAAGTCATACTATTTACCAAAAATAGTAGTAAGAAAAGTCAATTCACATTTAATGCATACTTTATTTAAAAATTTTTTACTATATGCATTAATTGCTTGCATATAATTTTCTATTCAAATATGATCAAAAAGATTCTTCCCTTAAATAATTTTATTAAATTCTGCAATGATTTTACTGATATATATTATAATTCATATTTGTCGATAGTATTTTTTAATTTTTATTTGAGTATATAAAAAACAAATATTTTATTTAATTAATATTTTATTTATCATTTAAGAGATAATGATCACATCATTAAATGATATTACATATGGCTAGATAATAAATTAAAATACATTATTTATTCTTTAAAATTTTGGCATGTTATTTATTTGTATCTATCTATATATTTATTATATAAGGTATCATATTTACCAAATTTAGTAGATTAAAAAGTCAACGTAATTAATTGGTGTAGAATAGTATTATTATTATTATTATTATTATTATTATTATTATTATTATTATTATTATTATTATTATTATTATTATTATTATTATTATTATCATCTTGGAGAATAAGTTAAATATTAGAGATCTTGTCTTGTTGGACAAGTTAAGAATAGTGTTTAGGAGTCTTATTTAAAGGGCTCCACCATCTATTGTTTTATTCAGTTGAATTTGAAATGAAATAAATATATTGTTGAGTTTTACGTGTTGTACGAGAGAGTATCTCGTTTACTCGTTTTATCCTTCCCATTCGTACG